GTTTCCCCTACCATTATACAAGCAGGGCAAAAGGACCAAGCGCCCCGTCTACCAAACCCCACACCCCAACCACCTGTCGGCACTGACGTAACGCTAAACTAGCGGCTCGCAATGCAGGTGCACTAGCTAAAAAGCTAAAGGCAGCCTCTTCCCTCACGCTGAACGCACCCCTGCCACTCGAAAACTGTTAGTACAAACAGCGCACGGCTCAGATGTGCGTCTGTCTCTTCTACCCCCCCCCCCCCCCCCAAAAAAAAACCAAAACAACAACAAAAAAAACAAAAACCTGTTGGTTCAGACAGCGCGCGGCTGTCTCTGTACCCACTTCCTCTAAAACTGTTGGTTTAAACAGCGCGCTGCGCAGCTTAGGACATGTCTCTGTCCGTAAGTGTCTCCCCCCCCCAGGACAAAAATCACAGACGAGATGAGCGCCCCACCATGGCAAGTAATCTAGGGGAAACACTGTAATGCCTGTCGCGATAAACAATAAATCAATTAATCGCATGATGAATGAAAATTATCGACCTCATTTTCATTTATCGGTTTTATCATTTCTTCATTCTCTCTCTTTCTACTGAAGACACTGGATGACCAAAAGCTCAACTCCGGTGCTCTTCACTGACCCCTTCCTTTCTCTTTAAAATCCATTTTAAAAGCAGCCAAGCTGAGAAGCTACGGGCTAAGCTAACGGGCCGACCTCGGGAAAAAAACCTTCGTCTTGTCGAAGCTCCAAAATTCACAGTTGAAACCCATGCCTTCGTGTAAAAAGTTTTTCTCTTCAGAAAGTAGTTGAGAACTTGTCTACTGATTTTTTATTTATTTAAAAGCTTAATCAACACCGTTTGCTATTTTGAGAACTGAAGAGAGACAGTCCATGTCACGTCAAGGGGCTCCATCCCATTTTTCTTAGAGACACGCTGCTCGCTCCCTCACTATTCATCCTTCGGTTCGAACTGTCTTATACCGCCATCTGGTGGTCGAAAAATTGTACTACATGCAAAACAAATTAAACATTTCTCCTTAAATTTGACAATAATTACTAATTATTGTCAAATTTCAAACAATATTATCGTTTATCGCAATAATTTCTGAGGCAATCAACCATCAAAATTTGTTATTGTGACAGGCCTATTTATTTATTTGTTTATTATTATTGTTGGGTTTTTTTTTTTTTTACAAAATTGACATTTGTTTTGAAAGGCTGTTGTGCTACAAACAGAAAGATGTCGTACAGTAAAGTTTTAGAAGCATCTCTTCAAGTGTTAATAGTCCCGATGCTACATGTGTATTGTGCTCTGAATGTTTGCCTTTTCTTTCCACAGGAGAGCGAGGCCAGTGTGTGCTGGACACACCTCCGAAGATATTATTCTGTGACCTGTGTCTGGACCCTGGGGAAAGTAAAACTTGTACGTATGTTAACATAGGTGTATTATTTATTCGCCCATCTTCACATCCTGTATAAACTTAACTTTATTAGGCTACGTTCACACTGCAGGTCTTAAATGTTCAATTCTGATTTTTTTGCTCTGGTGCAATTTTCTTTGCTTGGTCATTCACATTATCATTTAAATGCGACCTTCATCAGACTCCAGTGTGAACCCTTTACAGTTCTGGGGCGACCCACACTTGCAGCAGAAAACATGACATCACACGCAGCACGCTGTGTTTAAGGAAGTACATCCTTTTCCAAATTATTATGCAAATGATGTTTTTTCTCTGGTGTTCCCAAATAGTCGATCCAAATGACAGTCGGCAAAAATTTCAAGTTATCAGCCGTTAGAGTACACACCATGAGATCCTCTCCGTTTCTGCCCATAGCAGCCAGTTATGCAGAGGTATTCCTTGCAGCATGGCATGGTGCATTGTCATGCAAGAATATGGTTTTGTTATGGAAAGTACAATTCTTCTTTTTGTATCATGGAAGAAAGTGGTCAGAAACTTCAGAGGTCATTTTCACACATTCAGGGACGCTAACGGGGCTGACCAGCTCACTCCCCCAAATTCAAAACACGACTCCACCTCTTTGCTGATGTCGCAGCCTTGTTGGGACATGGTGGCTGTTCACCAACCTTCCACTACTCCATTCATCTGGATCATCCAGGTGTGCACGGCAGTCATAAATGAAGAAGACTGTTTGTATTTCTGGGCCCGCTGCAGCTGTTTCTGTTCGTGAGCACTGGTTAGGAGGTGGAGTGCAAACTGCACGCCTCTGGACTTACACTTTGATGTTTGTGGAACTCCAGAGACACCAGAAGCTTCAAATATCAGCTTGCTGCTTTGTAATGGCATTTTAGGAGCTTCTCTTAAACCGATGTGTTTGTCTGGCAGAAACCTTCCTTGTTGTGCCTTTATCTGCACAAACCTGCGTGTGCTCTGAATCAGCCACAAATCTCTTAACAGCACGATGATCACACTCAAGTTTTCATGAAATATCTAAGAGTTTCATACTCTGTCCATGGCATTCAACTATTCCACGCTGTTCGGCAGCAAATACATCCTTTTTTCCACACATTGCTTGAAATGGTGGTATTCTTAATAATGTGGAACATCCTTCAGTAGTTTTTCCTTTAATTGGGCTCACCTGGCAAACTAATCATCACAGACGTCTGAGATTTCAGTCATCCAAAGAGCCCTGAGGCACAGTATCATCCATGAGTTTAATTTAAAAAAAAATAAAAAATTAAGTTAAATACAGTTTGTTAAATGATTTGGAGTGCATTGTAAGAAGTGGATGCTACACTTGTTAGCATGTGTGATTCTGAAGTTGTGCTCTCACAACTGAATAAATTATCTGATACGCTTGTTTGGTCCATTGTTGATTTAATTTCGCCTCCTGACGGCTCTTACAGCACAACGTTATGTTTTGGTACAGGAGTGATGTACTAAATGGGAGAAACAAACTCAAATATCGATCCCATCAATTTGGTATCAATACTGTCCAACACTAATGTTAGTACCGTATTTTCCGCCATACCCAATGCACCGCCCTATAAGTTGCTTCAGTCCAAATATGTCTAAAAAACTGAAAAAATTCATAAATATGTCGCTTCACCATATACATTGTATCTATTATGCGTCACCGCTGACAACCCGGAAATGTGGGCTGGTGTTGTGCCAAAAATCAATGGGTTGCCAAATGGCGGCTGCGGGAGCGTGCACAGGAGGACTTTAACAAGAATTTTACAAGAAAAGCACTAAAAAACAATTATTTGTTTGCTCAAAATTATAGTAAAGGTGTGTCTCAGTCTAACATTTACTTAATAATAGGACTTTAACGGTCAAATCAGCTGTATTCGCTGCCTCAGTGCTCCGGGAGCATGCAGAGGGAGGGAAAAAAAAAAGAGGAACGCTACTCGTTTCTTTGCAATTTAGCAAGAAAAGCACCTAAAACAATTATTTGTTTGCTCAAAATTATAGTAAAGGTGTGTCTCAGTTGAACTTTTACTTAATTAATGCACTTTAATGGTCAAAGTAGCTGCATTTTGCCGGGCGGTGCAGCTGGTTTGACTTGTTCCAAGCAGCGAGCAGAAAGAATGGTGGGGGGGTACTGTGGCAAACCGATTGTATCATTAATAGCTGGTGAAGATTCTCAGTCATCCAGGACATGGTAAATTCAAATAAGTTCAAGACATAAACAATAAACTATAAAGTATAATAAATAAAGTCAAGTTGTTTTTGTCTTGAACTTTTTTGAATTTTCATTATAGCCAGTCACGTTTACCTATTACATGATACAACAGCATGCCTTACTGCTACTACTACTATGCTGCCATCTAGTGGCTGAAAAAGGTACTGCTAAAAATGTAGTCTGAATGAATAAAAACAGTCATATCTCAGCCAAAAATTGGTTTATAAATATGGGAAAAATCCATAAATATGTCGCTTTGGCATATAAGTCGCAGGGCATGTAAATTATGCAAAAAACCTGCAACATATAGGCTGAAAAACACAGTATTTTTTTTATGTAGATTCTCAGACATCCAGCACATGACAACTTAAATCAGACTTATAAACTGGGTTTTAGTTATGTAGCTGAAGTTGTGCAGAGTTCAAGATTTAAACTGTTACAAGCTTGTCTCGTTGTTATTATTAATACTTTGATCAATTTGCAGACCCCAATTTGCTGACGTAAAAGATGAAATGTGACATAACTGATTAAACTGCAGTCACTTTGGAAAAACATCGGATATTTATCTGAATCAGTACCATTCAGATATATATATAGATCTGGGTCAGATTTGAAAAAATAAAGGATTTGTCACGTTCAGACTGTCATGAAAAAATATGATACGAGTCGCATAGTGTGTGTGTGTGGGGTGGGGGGGTGGGGGGGGGGTCAGATTTGGCCCGCTTTTTTCTGCAGTGTGAACATAGTCTTAGTTGATGCTGAACTCTTTTCAGGTCCTGTTGCAGCACTAAAATCATTCTAGACTTTAATCTGGTTATTTCCTCACCTTGATTCCTCTTTTTTTTCTCAGCTGTTCGTTTTATGATTGAAGCTGAAAACACACGGTGCGTCACCAGAATCATCCATCCATCGGTCGTCATACTTAAAACTAGTGTTGTAGTCAAGACCACCTAACCCGAGACCTAGACCAGAGTGTACCGAGACAAGACCAAGACTTAGGGTCCGAGACCAAGACCTCAAATAAAATAAAATAATTTTTCAATTGTAATTTTTTTTAAATAAAAGTTACATACTGCAACTTTAAGTTTGCTTTTGAATTAATGTATCGGCTTTTATAAAATTTCAACGCTACATAACAAAGAAATCAGCCACTCAGTGGCCTAACTTCATGTGACTCAACAGTAAAATTACACAACTGTTAACCTGGAAGCAGTTTCATCACATGTCAAGCCTTAAAAACCTGCAGTGGCAAAACACTCTTCATAAGTCTGAACTACCAAGGATAACCACACAGTGGTTTCAATAAAGTAGATATACACCTTAAACATTACATAAATGGATATTTGTTACAAGTATATTCTTTGTGATTTAAATAGCTGAATTTTGTAACTGATGATACGGCAGACATCTTCTCAATCACTTCTCACTTTCTAAAGTGGGTGGGCGTGACAGCGGTAACAAAAAAAGTATTTAGCAACGAGTCACGTTATCGCTTGGATTTGAACCAGTACGTTTTGCATCCAATAAAAACAAAGATGTTAACAAATAAACTGGACAATATTCTGGCAATTTAGTGATATTTCCACAGTTTTGGTCTTGACTGGTCTTGAAATAAACTCCCGAGTCCTCAATGTCCGAGAACATCAAAACATGGTCTTGAGACCGGTCTCAAGACCAAGACCGGTCTCAAGTACTCCAATACTAATTAAAACGTATAGCACTGTAACCACAAACATTACCTTAAAAAGTCTTTCTCACCACAGCAGGTAAAGTGTTAAGCAATAGATCACCACACGACCTTTTAGCCATCGTTTATGTAATGGTGAGATTTTGGGTCGTATATTTTTCGACATTGCTCAATTTCAACAGTTAATCTTTCCTCGTTCATTTTTATACTTGTGATATGAAACGTTGCTACAGGTAAAAAAAAAAAAAAAAGTACAAATCAATCAACCTTTATTTATACAGGTAAATCCCATTGAGCCTCGAGGACTCATTTACAAGAGAGACCTGATTTCAACAAAGAAAGATGACAACAATGGACAACAGCAACAACAATAAGCAGTTATAAAAACTCATACTACAGTTTTTTTTTGTTTTTTTTTTTTTAACAAATAGGATGGCTAAAAGGAAAAAGGTAACAAAACCAAAAAAAAAAAAACTGCTAGATTCCGAGACAAATGTATAAAACTAAAAACAGGAACATGTCAGCATTGTTCCTGTTTTTAGTTTTATACATTTGTCTCTAAAACAAGCATAGACGAACTGCTACAGGAACCTGGTTGTTCAAGCAGGGAGCGAGTAGCATGCAGAAAAACGTTTTGTTTCTGGAGCATCGGTTCTTGCAAATAGAAGAGTTCTGAGAGCTTCTGCAGTGTAGAGCGTCGTTTGGTGGCCAGCTGATGTAGAGGTCCTAGTTTAAAACTACGCAGGCGTAATTTTTGAAGCACGTCATACTCCAGCTGTGTGTTTTGCCCTTTGGGATCATTGTCTTGTTGCAGGACCCAGTTTGGACGAAGTTTTAGCCGCTGGACTGAAATTTATTAAAATAAATAATGACTCCAGGTCAGTGTGGTCCAGTGGCTGCAGAACAAGCCCAAATCATCAACCCACCACCTCTTTGCTTAACAGTGTTTGTTTTTTGTATTTGTTTATTATGGTAATTAACTTTAGCCTCGTCTGTCTAAAGAAGTTTTTTGTGGTTGGTTTAGATGTAAACCTAAGCTGTGATGAGTTGGTGTTTGTGGAGAGATTTGTTGCAGCTTCCAAACAACTTGTTCAGTTTTTCTTCTAATGTTGCTGTAATGAATTGGCACCTTTAATGTGCTGACTGAAACCTGAGAAATATATTTCCTCCTCTCTGTTGCTGTTTACACTCGTTTGAATGTTGCAGAGCAGCAAAAAAAACACAACTATTCCTTGTAGAGATGCTGAGAGAAATATAAATGGTCTTTTCATAAGCCTTTGTTTTATATATGGGTGGATGGATGGATGGATGGATGGATGGATGGATGGATGGATGGATGGATGGATGGATGGGTGGATGGATGGATGGGTGGATGGATGGATGGATCGATCTTCAGTTAAGGTTGTGTTTACGTAGTAATGTAATAATCTTAATCTGATAAGAACCAAATGTTTTTTTTTTCCTCATTTATTGTGGGGTTTTGTTCTGAACACTCCCCACCACCCCAGTAAGTGAAATTCCGCAAAGTAGCAATGTTATATTTATTTTAGTATTTATATATATTTGAAGGCTTTAAAAACTCTTCCCCCACTCTTGTGATGTTCTAAACTCTTAAATCTGCATCATTTTAACAACATACGTGCAGCAGCTTTTAAATTTTACTTAACAGCGCAGCCCCACACGGAGGTCCTCAGAGGCCGGTTGAAAGACATGAAAAAAGGTGCCAGTGGGCTCTGGATGGACCACCAGACCTTCCCAGTCCCGGAAAAAAAAGTTGTGTCCCATCCCACTCCCGGTACCATGACTCCTGCTCCTGTACCGCTCCCATTTTTTTTTTCCTTCCATTTAGTCTTTAGGAAATACACCAAATTTTATTTGATCTTCTACCCATTCCTTTTTATATTACTTTGTGTTCTGCAGTTTGATTTCAAAAGATAAGGCAACAGGAGCAGTTCATCTGCGGTGAAATAGGCATTTATTTATTTTTTGTCCTATTGATTGGTTCCCGCTCCCGTCTGCTCCCGTTAACTTTTCGTCCCGTCCCATCCCAATCACGTGAGTAATAATAAGGTAGTAATAATGGACTCCAGTCCCGTGGGAATCCCGAAAAAAAATGTCATCCTCTAAGGTCCGGTTCTGCTCCAGTTCGGTGGGTTCTGTGCAGCTTCTCTGCATCCGCTGGGCGCCGATCAGATCAAAACTTTACTTCTAGATTTTTCAGCGGAACGAAACGGGACTTCTGGCGGGGCCCTGTTGCCTTCTGGGTAATGTAGTCGTTATGAGCAGGAATACAGTGGAGGAGAGAAAACTACAAAATGGCGGCGCCTGTCCGAAGTATTTTAGTTTTTCGTTAACTTTTTACTCTACAGTACTGTATCCAGTACTAAAATAGCGAGTCCATGAAAGTCGAACCACAAAATAGCGAGGGGCTGCTGTATGTGGTTCTTCAGTTAAGGTTGTATTTACTTAATGTAATAATTTTAATCTGATGACCAAATGTTTTTTTTTTTCTTCATATGAACAGCTGTCCTACAGTGGCGTATTTACATCACATTATTCTGTTACAGATTCATACAGCGAGGTGGTGCCCATCGATGGACCTCCCAGTTTCCGCGGCCAGGCAGTGAAATATGTCTACAAACTGACCATCGGTTGTCAGAGGGTCAACTCTCCCATCAAGCTTCTCCGGGTCCCCTTCAGGGTGCTGGTTCTGCAGGGTGAGCTGGAGTTAGACGACTGTTGATTACAGCTCCCTTTTTTATGCTAACTGCCCGTTCTCACATTTAGAACAGCGTTGTTGCCTTTAAAGTGGCAGAAAGTTTGTGAGGAATCAAAGATATGGATTTTTTAAAATCTAATATAGGCATGCCAGAGCCTCCATTTCCTCAGGATGACGAGGTTTCCCCCTCAAACCCATTTCTGGAGGAGGAGGAGGCGAGCCGCAGAGACGCTCGAACTTTGGAGAGGGCACTGGACATGCTGATGGTCACCACCTCCAGACGCTGCCCCCGTGAGTCCACTCCTTCTTCTTTCCTTCCTGTTTCGTTGTCTTCAAGTTGATTATTTTCATATTATTGTACGACAGACTTTGTTTCACAGTGTAGATGATTCACAAATGCACATTAAACCTACTAAAATAAATAAAATCATCTTTTCACTATTTTACTGTTAAGGTTGTTGACAATTATCTGCTTCTACAATAAAAAACAGATTAAAAAAGACAACAGGCTGTACAAATTGATTTAAGTTGCAGGAATTATTTTTTCCTACAGTTTCAGGTTTAACTGTTTACGTGTCTGAACCTCTTGTTTCTTTCAGACATGTTTAATATCACCAACTTGCGTGGAAAAGTGGCAAAGTTCTGCATCTTCAAGACTGTTTACAGACTTGGGGAGGACATCGTTGGTACTTTTAACTTCTCAGAAGGAGACATTCCTTGCTTACAGGTGGGCTTTAACTTTATTCGCCTCTACTCCTTGGTATTTTCCTCATTTTCTTGTATTACAACCAGGAGTTTAAAAGAATTTTGGTGAGTTTAATAGATTTGACCAGAGAGTTCCAGCACATTAAACTGTTTGTACCTTAAACTACTTTAGTGTTGCTTCAGCAGTGTCTTTAGGTTCATTGTCCTGGAAGGTAAACCTCCATACAGGTCTCAAATCTCTGAGAAACCCCTCACAAGTTCCTCTCAGAGTTTTCTCTGTACATTGCTCCATCTGTCTTTCCTTAAAATCCGACCAACTGATGAAAAATGTCCGCACAGCATGATTCTGCCACCACCATGCACTAGGCCTGTCACAATAAACAATAATCAATTAATCGCATGATAAATGAAAATTATCGACCTCATGTTCATTTATCGGCTTTATCATTTCTTCCTGTGTGTCTCTTTCTGAAAACACTGGATGATAAAAGGTTAAATTCCGGTGCTCTTCATTGACCCCTTTCCCCTTTTCTTTTTAAATCCATTTCAAAATCACATCTTTGGATTATTCAAAGCAGCTAAGCTGAGAAGCTAATCTATGAGCTAAGCTAACAGGTCGATCTCCTGGGTGGGGGGGGGCTTGTCTTGTCAAAGCTCCAAAATTCACGGTTGAAACTCGTGCCTTCATGTAAAAAGTTGTTTATCTCTGCAAAAAGAAGCTGAGAACTTGTTTACTGATTTTTTTATTAAAAGCTTTGTGTGAAAAATGTTATGCTAAAGAGCTCAAACCACACAGAATGTCCGCCATTTTGAGAACTAAAGAGAGACGGCCTATGTCACATGAAGGGGCCTCCCACACATTTTCCTTAAAGAGACACGCTGCTCGCTCCTTCACTATCCATCCTGCGAAAAAAATTTCAGTCAGGTCATCTGGACATTTTCTTTTTTTGTTCTGAAACGTTTCGCCTTCGATCCGGACGGCTTCATCAGTCAAGGAAACACACAACAAAACTGATTCTTCCTCCAACAGCTTACTCCAAAGTGGAACAAACCAGTTCTGCTTGTGATTAGATGGTCTCTTTGGTACGCCCCCTCCTCCATTGCCGGCCCTCTTCCTTGTTGACAGTCTTGTCAAACTGGTTGAAAACAACAAAGTCGAGAAAAGAAACTGTCCAGATGACCTGACTGAAAAATGTTGGATTTTATACCTGGATTATTGAGCATGGACTTTGTTGTTATCCATCCTTCGGTTCAAACAGTCTTATACTGCTATCCGGTGGTCGAAAAAGGTACTACATGCAAAACAAATTAACCAACATTTTTTTCTTAAATCTTCTTAAATTTGACAAATTTCAAACAATATTATTGTTTATCACAATAATTTCTGAGACGATTAATTGCCCAGCAAAATGTATTATCGTGACAGGCCTATCATGCACCATGCATGATGAGAGGTGGTAGATTTGTTCCTTTGATGGCCTAAAAGTTCAATTTTAGTCTCATCTGGTCACAGCACCTTCTTTTTCGTGTTTGGAGACTAAGATGTATTTTGGCAAATTCCAAACAGTCTGGCCTTATTTTCTTCTTTGTGGGTTTTTTTTCTGTCCGCTCTTCCATGAAGCCCAGCTCAGTACATCTTATAGTGGTCCTATGAACAGATCATTCCATTTCTGTAGGAGAGCTCTTAAGATCCATCAGGGTTCTTTTTGTCGTCCTGGGGGTTTAATGGCGCTTTGCCACTGTCTCAATTCTCATTGGCCCCGCACCAGTTAAGGGCCTGCCCATTGCCAGTACCCATCCCCACTCAGCCTGGTTTATGGGACCACCTTGTTCGTGGTTCCAAGCAGACTGCTCCGAGGAGCTGATTTTGACGTAAGCAGACAGCAGCTTTTGATTGGCCAGTGGCGCTACATCACTGGATGACATGCCCAGCAAAACTGCAAACTACATCTGAACCTCCACGTCCTCTGATCATGTTGACAGATGGTGCCACAAGAAATGAGCGCATTTACCGAGCGATATCAGAGATGATGGCGCAACATGCTTACACTCAGACTTGTAAGCAGTGCCAAGATATGCTAATGAAATTCAAGTCCGATTATAGGGCGATTAAGGACCACAACAGGCAGAGTGGCTCCAACATGAGCAGTAACGACCTCGCCCACTTTGCATTGACGATCCCACCCACAGAGCGGGGAAACAGGTCAGCTTCTGCTGTAGTGGCAAATCACCTCCACCTGAGAAGAACCGAGTGGAGCCGCACTTACCAATGGCAAAGCATCATAATTGATACCCTTCATACCAGGTCCAATTCAATTCAGTTTATTTATATAGCGCCAAGTCACAACAGAAGTCGTCTCAGGGCACTGAACAGAAACATTCATATGTAGAAAAAATTTTTTAACGCTATTTATCTGAGGAGCAGACTGCTTTGAGGTCGTTTTCACACCAGATAGTCCGGTAGACTCGGTTCGGTTCGGGACCAATATTCATGATCTTTTGTTTACATTTGAGCTGGTGAGTTTGCATTCACACTGCACTGTGCAGTCGAGTCAACCTGTTGAACCAACCTATTCCCCCGCTCGCCTGTGGGGGCGCTGCACCAAGAACTACTGAAAGAAACGACACAAAAACCTCTGAAGACACGTCTTCTTCTTCTTCTGTAAATAAAAATAAAAACGAAGTGGCATCAAGTTTTAGCAGTTTTAGGAGTTATATTTTGTCATTTTTCAAAAATGGACTTAGCATGAGCAGAAGATGAGGCAGAAGACCATGGAGAATATTGTTTTTCCACACAAGGCAGCCGACGGCTCCATATGAGGTCAGAGAAATGCGTGTTTGTTTACCCTGTGGAGCGGGGCCGGTCTGTTTACATTCACACTGTACTTGAACCGCGCTGGAGTTTGCTTCTACCGGACCGAGACCTAGGTTTTAGCCCGGGCCAGAGTTTGCCTTTTTGTTCCGTGACAGAGTTCGATGGCGCGTTCACACCTCCCTAAACGAACCGGACTTTCTAGGAAAACGAGCTAGAGTTCGATTAAAGCGGACTAAACAGGGCTGATGTGAATGCACCCTGAATTTAACTTCATCGCAGAACTCTCATTTTGAGCAAACATGAAGGCGACAGTGGAAAGGAAAAACTCCCTCATGAGGAAGAAACCTTTTTCAGAACCAGGCATGAGTTTAAGTTGAGGACCCTGCTCTTGGCAGGTTTGCTGAGGTGGAATCATCCATTTACTTCCTATCAATGGATTTAATGGAGCTCAGTTCAGAGCACGGGGATCTTTTTTAATTACACAATTCTGATCTGTACCTCTCAGCAACTTTGCCTCTGACCTGTATGGCAACTTCCTTGGTCTTCATGCTGTCACTTGCTTGGTGGTAGTCCTTAAAATGTAAAGGTGTTGTATCGGGGGCTATATATATTGTGTATTTAAGCAATATTACTACCTGTGAAATAATTCATCCTACTTGCACCGTTATATTCTACCATGTTGTTATTTACTATATTTCTTTTGGACCTTGTAAATATATTTTTTCACTTTTTGGTACTTTATTTTGTACTCATCGCATGACTTAGTATTTCTTGTTTGTTTGTTTTTTAGCGAGTCAAAACGGTTCTCATCCTGAACATTTCATTGCACTGTTGACCTTGTGTTAATCTGCATATGACACATAAACTTTAACATATTAGTGTGTGTATATATACTGAGATCTTTGGACGCTTGTATCTCTTACCGCTTCTTATGCATGCGCCAGTTTTATTTTTGTAGAATTGTATAAAACAAGTTGTTTTTTTGTATTGAACTTTATTTTTCTGAAGTCATTTTTTGTAAAGAACCATTAATTAATATTGAAAGTTTAAATTCTGTTGTTTTCAGGCTGTAAGGCGTCGAATAAACCATATTAAGGGGGTGAATACTTCTGCCACCCACTGTACCTTCCTGACGTACTGCGTCTGTGTTTTTCAGTATTCTGTGAGTCTTCAGAGTGAGGAGGAGATCCAGGAGCAGTACCAGCGACGGCCCGGGCAGGCCATCAGCGTGACTGGACACGGCCGACACCTGGAGTCCTGCCTCCACACCGCCTCCAGCCACTTCTCCCTCCCCGTCCCCCTCAACGTCACGCCGGGGTTCAGCACAGACATAGGTCAGATAGAGGTCAAACTCAGAAATCTGTTTTTAGTTTTTAATTGACTAATAGATGAACAGAAAAGAAAGCTTTAAGCACTTTTCTGTTTCCATGTTGATAATATCAAAAACGAGACGTCTAATGTAAAACGTTTTAAACTCTTGAACTCCTTCGCTCTTTGTTTTTTGTTGTTGTTGTTTAGTGACCCTGCGGTGGCGCCTGCACTTTGAGTTCGTCACCGCCCGTGAGCCTATGGAGCCCCCCACAGTTCTGCAGAACCAATCGGAGGTCACCGTTTGGGCGGGGGCGGAGCACGTCGACGTGGACACGTTCAGCTGGAATCTGCCTATCAAAGTGCTGCCGACGAACCCGGCTCTGGCGTCCTACGTGTCCCAGTTCACAGGGACAAACAGCATTAATATTTGACTGTCACACTGCGTGCATCAGGTCGGTTACTGGAAAGCAATCGGGAATGGGGTGTGTGTGTATTTGTGTGTGTGTGTGTGGAAGGGAAAGGACGATTGTTTTTCTTTAGAGGTGCACATTCCCAGTGTACATGCGACGCTAGTGGGTACCATATGTGATTTAACCAGCTGTATGTTTTACTTTTTTCATTTTGAAAGTGCTTTCTAATGTTTCAAGACTTGGGACATCTTTTTAAAAGAATGCAACTTTTTGACTTGTGTGTTTTTTATTTTAAATGCGTTTTGTGCAACGGCACACCAGCTTGTTCTCATTACTGTATATGAAACCAGCATACAAGACGTTTGTTCTGTATTAGCATTTTGCTTTGAGATGTAAAAACTGCGAGAGAAGAATTAAAACTGTGACCTTTAATTTTATAAACCGAGTGTTTTTATTGAGACACTGAAGGAGTTACAGTAGCGAACAAGTCTAACCAAAGACGAAAATGTGTTAATAAATGTGTACAAATGCTGATATTTACAGTTAATCAGTGTTGCACTAATTAAACAGTTGTGGTTAATACAATCTAAAGAAAATGTACAGATGTGTATAGCACTGTTAGATTCTTGATGTTACAAAAATATTGTAGTTCAAATCTTTTGAAGTTGGGTTCTGTAGAAAGATTATGAACAGTTAATATCTTACCTGTTATAGATAGCTCTTTGAACATCAGTTTTGAGAAAGTTATTTCTGCTGAGCTAACAGCTATAGTTCAAGCTGCTGCTATTAGTGCTAATAAATAACCATAAAACTACATAAAGTGTAATCTGAAATTGACATAGATGAAAACATCAACAAAATGGGTTTTCTTGTGAAGCTTTAAAGTTTTTGCTTGTTTTTGAACCATAGCAATTCACTGTGGTCTTGGTCCCGCTCGGTGTAGCCGTTACCTCGTCAGTCTGGTCAAAATTAAACTCCAAACTGAGGTAAATCAAAGAGCTATCCACAACAGGTGAGATAATATTTGTTCATAACTTTTATAAAACCCCACTTCAGAAATATGAACTATCACTTTCAGCTTGTGTTGTTGTGCATCTTTTAAGAATACAAAGATGTAATGAAACAGAAATGTGTCATATAAAGAACTTAAAAGGCCTATTTTTAACATTTAATACACAAATGATTTAAGACATAAGCTGCTCACATTTTGCGATACACAACCCAAGAATCACAGACGCTGATGTTGGTCCCATTATATGTGTAAAAAATAGATGCAGGTATATTTGATGGTTTCGAGCTTCCTTGCCCCGGCTGCACTGTTGCTGCTCTCAGCTCCTCACTGCAGCTGAAGAGATCCATGGCTCGGGTCCCTGTTTGTTTCATCTGAGGAGCACGGCAAGCGGGGGTCGGCCGACTGGACCAGAAACGCTTTGCAAGTCACCGGCTCGACCCGCACCTCGCACCACGCGGGGAAGTCCACCGGCCGATGCACCCTGCACAGGAAAGAAGGTCTTTACATCACTTAATCTTTTCCAGCTTAGACCTCTTGAAGCACAGTTGCACTTGATTTTATACATATTAATGTCACTACAGTAAATTATATGTTATGTACTGATGCACAGCCTTCTACATTCTTAAATCTTTTTAGCTTTAGTAATAAAATATTAATTTAGAACCTGATGCACTTTGTCCTTTGATGCAAACTCAGATTTTCTTATTTAAACTCATGAATGTACGTCTTCTCTATTAAGTCTGAGCTAAAACTCTGTGCATCTGGACACCAAACCTCACTGACTGTTTGTGTTACTCACGTCTCGCAGCAACCAACACCAACGGGGTGCAGACAGGTGCACTGCATGCAAGCGTCGTCCATCCAGGTGTCCCCCAGGGAGTACCGCTTCCCCTCGAACTCGCACACAGCTTCAACATATGGCAAATTCTAACTTAGACATGTTTCTTTTTCTAGAAAGGTTGCCGTGTAACAAGATTTATTTTTTATTTTTTTATTCTCACCTCGAGAGTCAAAGTGGCACTCCAGAGGTGCAGCAAAGCCTACGCTGGCCCAGATGAGCAGAAACCCTGCAGCTGCAAACACCATGTTGACTCTGGTGAGCTCCATCTTCATCTGGTCGGATCAGCCAGGGGTTCCTCTTCTCCTTTATGTTCCCACATTTATACATCCTGGGATGTCACCACCGTGGCGAGGAGGTGGGGTCAACATGGGGCCTGGAGAGAATCTTGTATTTTGGTATGGTTTTGGCACTGCAAAGATCTCGCTGTGCTTCAGTGGGCATGAACCTCCAAAGTCATAGAAACGATGACACATCCATGCAGTGACTAAGCAATGGAGGGGTGGAAGGGAGGTGAGCTGGCCCCAAGGAGAGGGAGAGCATGAGGAGAGAGATGGGGAAATTATCTAACGGATTTATCCATAACGCCCCAAATGTAGGGGTGACTGTATCTACACAGTAAAGAGTCATCAAACAGTGCCATACAGAACATAATCCTGAAGGTACATTTCTTAACAACCCTGATCTTTTTGTCACCACAAGCATAAAAGTCAATACTAGAGAAATATTGTCAGAAGACTGGTGTCTATCCAACCTAAAAAGCTTTGCTGACCAGTCATAACCATTACCATTAAAGGACCATTTAAGATAAGATAGAAATTTATTGATCCCACGAGAGATTGTCGTGCCAGGGTTCCAGTACAAAGGTAAATGGACTGCACTTATATAGCATTTTTCTATCTTATCAAGATACTCGAAGCTCTTTACAACACGATCTGTGCTCTCGTTTACCCATTCGTACAGCACTCTACTAGATCTATACAAAGAAAAATCAGTGCTTTATCACATTCATACACCAATGGGACAGACATTGGAGGCAATGAGGGGTTCACTGTCTTACCCAGAGCCACAGCCACTCCAAACTCTCATTACACTACTACTGTACCTCATTACAGGACACTAAACAGTTGATGAAAGAGGATTAGCAGCGAGTGATTTTCCTTTCATACAACAAAGTGACCAGCCTATCTCTTTAAGGGCATACATTATCTGGAATCAACACTTTGTAATGCACATTAATACAATCACATCTGTTGGTTTTTAGTGTTTTCCTAAAAAGAAATGGGATGTAGCTTGGGTAGTCATTCAACTGAGAATAAATGCTGAAGCAAGAATTAACATCTTATTTACAACCATTAAACATTTATTTTAAGTTCAGAAAGAACTGCATTGTGTCTTTGTGGATTTAGAAAAAGCATATGACAGAGTGCCGAGGGAGGAGTTTTGGTATTGCACGAGGAAATCTGAAGTGGCAGTGAAGTATGTTAGACTGGTACAGGACATGTATGAAGACAGCAGGACAGTGGTGAGATGTGCTGTAGGAGTAACATATAGCTTCAAGGTGGAGGTGGGAGTGCACCAAGGATCGGCTCTGAGCCCCTTCTTGTTTGCTCTGGTGATGGACCGACTAACAGTTGAGGTCAGGCAGGAATCCTCATGATGTTTGCAGATGATATTGTAATCTGTGGTGAGAAGAGGAAACAGGTGGAAGAGAACTTGGAGAGGTGGAGGCATGCACTTGAAAGAGAATTTGTGTGAATGAGAGGGAGGCAGGAGGAACAGAGGCTACAAGGAGCAGAGGTCACAAAGGAGCAGGACTTCAAGTACTTGTGGTCCTGTCTAGGAAAATGGGGAGTGTAGTAAAGAGGTGAAGACAAGAGTCCAGGCATGATGGAGTAAATGGAGAAAAGTTTTAGGAGTGATTTGTGACAAAAGGGAGTCGTCAAAGGAAAAGTTTTTCAAGACAGTGGTGAGACCAGCTACTGTATATTGTATAGTCTGGAGAAAGAGACATGGACAATGAAGATGTTGAGGTTCTCCTTAGGAGTGAAAAGGATGGTTAAGATTAAGAATGAGATCATCAGAGGTACAGCACAGGTTGAACAACTGGGAGATAAAGTTAGAGAGGCCAGACTGAGATGGTTTGGACATGTCCAGAGGAGGGACAGTGGGTATACTGGTAGAAGGCAGTGGTGTAGTCTACGCGATATGTGGGAGTATGGAGTATACCCACTAGAAAAGCTTAAGAATTTCAGCATACCCACTTAAAAGTGCCCATTGATACGTAACATATCATTCAGCACGTGTCATTGATACTTTAAACAGCAGTTGAACATTTCCGTAACAGTCTATCGGTATGCAGCGCTTATCCAGCGAATTGTTGTATAATTGTTTACTTACTACTTAATACTTGAAGATGTTTTGCTTTGATACTGTTTTACAAATCCTATAACATGTTTTTAATACAAATCCAACTGTTGTACAAATTTTATTGTTCATTTATTCAAATATAAGCATCAGAGAAATTTGAAAATGTTCAATATGCTTAAAAAAATCCTAATAAATTGACGATTACATTGTACTAACCATAGTACTTTGGTTTCTAAGCACAGTATACCCACTACAGTAATGTAGACTACACCACTGGTTGAAGGATGTTATAAATGCAGCTGACAGGAAAACAAAAACAGAGAAAGGCCAAAGAGGAGACATATGGATGCATTTAGAGAGGACATGGAGTTAGTTGGGGTGAGAAAGGACGCAGGGGACAGAGTGAGATGGAGGAGGATGACTCGCTGTAGCGACCCTTGGAGAGGAAACAGCCAAAAGAAAAGAAGCAGAATCGTTTATTTTTAGTACATTGTTACTTGTCAAAACTAGAAAAACTGTAGTGATAAAACAAGGTTTCGTTGCTTGTGAAATTTCACTAATGCTCACTATAGTCTGGCAAATAGATTAATATAAACAGATACACTTCTTTTAAACAGATTACTCAAAACACAACATGTGAAACAAGTTTTAAAGTGTATAAACAGGTCTGTGTCTCCAGTTTTCCTTTTAGAACAAATATGAATACACACACACACACACACACACACACACACACAAGTATCAAGTTCAGCATTTCACCTATTTTAAAGTGGTTTCGTGAGCTTGCATGATTTGGCGGATGGCATTTAAAAAAGTAAGCTGGGATCTGAAAGACCATATGTTTTGCAGATGCAGATTTGTCTACAGTGTGTGTGTCAACCTTTTCCTCTCATAAAAACGACAAAATGTCAGAGTTGAAACATGTCATCTGTACTGACTTTACAGGGATCCACAACAAAGCATTAGCTCATCTTCTTCCACTTGTTTTACTATCAGTGTCAGAGGTGGAGATCATAGGAAAAATTATCTCAAACATCTCGCAGGAGGCCCCGAGGCCTCGTAATATGACGTTTTTACGGGTCTGCTCCGATACCTCCATAGTAGTCGAGGAGTGTTGATAAGTCACCCTGATGATGGTTTTCTAGAGCTTATGCGTCGCTCTCACACCCTGATCTGTCAAATATGTTGACGGCGGTGAAGAGGGAGGATCTTATCAAAACAAAGATGAGGATTTTCCAGTCGTTCATATTCACGGCCATGCACTTAACTGGAGACGAGTTGATTGTTGAGGACTTTAGAAGGTCACAATTCTGTTATCATGACTTCATCTTGAAAACGGGTCAAACTAAACTTCAGAGGAAGCAGCTAGCTCATTTATAATAAATGTCTGTTTGTTTTTATTAAAATTATTGTTAACCTGAGAAAAATATATTGTAATTTGTAAAAGAACCATAATTTAGGCTGTTACATCACGTGTGTGCACAAATTACTTAGACTTTTTATCACTTTTTTTTTGTAAAATAGTTATATACTGTTGTTTTTGTAATATTTGTTATCTAGATTTGATGGTTATTTACCACAAGAGTTTAAGGTTGCTGTAATGAAACATTTACTTAGAAAACTTGGTCTTGATTATGGATTTGAAGCTGTTTGATTGACAGGACCAATGTTTTTACAGTGTTTGTGTACAATATTGTATATGCAGCACAATTTTTTTCTTCTTTCGGCTGCTCCCTTCTTCAGGGGTCGCCACAGCGAACTAAGTCGTACGAAGACTTGGCAATTGTTTTAACTCCGGATGTCCTACTGACGCAACCACAGACCACCAAGCTACCACAGCCCTCTGTGTGGAGCAGAGCTGCTATCTACGGTGTCTGGAGGAACAGATGATGGGGCTTAAGGGCCTTGCTCAAGGGCCCAGAGTGGGGCAAATGAGGGTGGGGGCAGGTTACCCACATTTTGATGTTGTCGGTGCCGGGAGTTGAACCGGCAATCTTTCGACCGCAGGCCCACCTTCTCTAGCCTCTGCGCCACCACTCCCCATTAAACAGCACAATAAGTAATGAAATTTACATTTGGTTAATTATTTCTATGTTGTAACAAGTCTTCTTGGAAATAAATCTTATCCCATTGGAAAACATATTTTTTTCTTTTTAAGTGGAGCCACTGTTAGGAAGAAAAAAAAAACAAGATTTGCAACAAATGCTGGTTGAAAAATGGGATGTCATCCCACTGCAGTGTGTGCTCAAGCTGGTGTGCAGCATGAGAAGGAGTTGCAGGCTGTTGTGGCTGCATATGGTTCTTCCACATGCTGCAGGCCTCTGTTTAATCCATGGAATAACCAATCATCCAATTTAATAAACAACACCGAACAAAAGTAAGTGGCTAAGTAAGCGATTCAGTAAAGGCAAATACGTTTTTCATTGGCGCAACATAATTCATATTTGCTGCTCAACCTGCATATTTTCCTAACAAAGCAACTACATAAAAAAGGTTTTTCAATGGTACAGTATACAATTTATGGCCATGAAGCATTGTTACAACAAAGAAATATTAAACCAAACACAAATTTCTATACTTTTTGTGCTGTCTTATATTGAACTTTATTGTTTTATTTATTTATTTAATATTGTTTGTTTGTTGTTGGGTGGGGGGGGGGGGGGTGAGAAGATGCGGGTAGCCTGTGTGTAGGCGCGCGCACTGTGCCTTTAACAACGCTTGAAGACCCGCCTCTTTATCGTTTCCTAATTTTTCATACCAGACTTGATTAATCGATACACAATTTCCCGATCTTCCTCCCATTCATCTCCGTCTGGTTGCATCGATATTTGACTACTCTGGCCTGACTGTACATTTCTGAAGCTGTTGTGTAGCTTCTAATAACCTCAAATCATCATGACTGGCGAGACAACCGTTTTATTAGTGTATTTACGGTGAATAAAAGCACTTAGCTATCTTCGTGAAGCTGCTGACAGACTGACGGAGTGTCTGTCCCTGCTGTCCGGGGGGGGTTTATCCCAGCTCTGGATTGTTTTTGTGCTGCTCCGAGGCCTCGTCGCAAAGTCTCATAACCGTCCCCGGGATTTCATGTTGAAGTCGTCTGGTTTGGGGGACTGAATTGAGTGTTTTCCTGTCGGAAGATGGACACTGACAAATTTAACTATGTCTACAGCTGTGACTTGGATATTAACGTTCAACTCAAGATGTAAGTTCAGCTCTTAAAGCTGTGTCTTTCGGTGAGGCGGCGGAACTACTTTTTGTCCTGTGACGACAGGATGCTGCTGTGTTGTGTTTACGGTCCTTGTGTTTGTGCGACGTTTTAAAAGGGTCAAATTAATGTTTAAATTAAATAAAGCACACTGCTTGTTTTTTAGTCCGACTTTGTGCTGTTAGCTTACTAGATTTCTTAATAATAAACTGCAGTGTTAAATTTTTTGTTGTGTTTGTTGACCTGCTTAGTGTCTAATAAGCATATGTCAAATATTAAGCAACTTGTGAAACAAAGTACTGATACTGAGCTAGTTTACATTTAGTGCTGTGACTTCTAGAACATGTCTTCTGAATAATTACAAAAATATGCACACACACACACTATATATATATATATATATATATATATATATATATATATATATATATATATATATAGTATGTGTATATATAGGAATTCCTTCAGTACCTTAAAGATGGATAATTTGTCAAATATTAAGGTGCTGTGGTCAGCTCTATTCATCCTCTGCATTGTTGATATCCTGCATTGAGTCAGATGATATGGTAATATGAATTAAATCAGTATTTAATTTATATTCTTTCCACAATAAAGGTAGAAAAGATTTTAAATCCACCATCAAAATTTTTAACTAAACTTTCTGAGTTTGATTTGGTATTTGAGATAAAAGCTGGAATGCACGTTGAGGTGGATAATAAATTAGAATACATGCATATTTTATGGATTCAATTCTTTGTCAGGAAACTAAAAACATGAAAAGCAAAACTGATAAATGTCATGCATTTTAAGAAAAATGACCAAACATATTTGGAAACAACTCCTTTTTGTTAAGTTTACAATGAGATGTTCTATTCTTGAGTCCAGAAATGGCTTATTTGGATGTTTTAATATCTTCTTGCCTCCAACAGAGGAAGTCTGGAAGGGAAGCGAGAGCAGAAGAGCTACAAAGCTCTGCTGGAGGACCCGATGCTGCGCTTTTCAGGTCTGTACCAGGAGAACTGCTCGGACCTCTACGTCACCTGCCAGGTTTTTGCTGAGGGGAAACCGCTCGCTCTGCCTGTCCGCACGTCATACAAAGCATTCAGCACACGCTGGAAGTAAGATCAGTCTCAAGTATTAGCTTTTAACACTTTTTTGTACTGGTATATCTTATTTTTATGTGACTTTTGAATTGTTACAATCAATCTTTGAAGTTTTATTTACACTTTGGTTTGTCCATTTTGAAGCTGGAACGAATGGCTGCGGCTGCCAGTCAAATACCCAGACCTTCCCCAGAATGCTCAGGTTGCTCTCACCGTGTGGGACATCTACGGGCCCGGCAGAGCCGTCCCTGTTGGGGGAACCACCGTCACCCTGTTTGGCAAATATGGGTGAGTTTTCGCTAGCACTATTACAAATGGTTTGCTTCTTGTAAGCTTAAAGCCATAGTTCAAATATTTTTTTTTAAATGAGGTTTGGTCAAAAGATTATAAACAAGTAATATCTTACCTGTTGCAGATAGCTCTTGAAACAGCCTCAGTTTGGAGAAATAGTTAGATTTTTATCAGATTGATGAGCTAAAAGCTAGTTCGTACTAGCTGTTAAAGTGGATTACTTCCTTCTTAAAACAACTCTAATCTCCAACATTTCACAACAGTTGATGTGTACGCTTCTTTATAAACTTTTACATCACTATCCGTTCCACATTAAATAGGTATTTTTTTCTTAAAATCGAAAGGTTATTTGCAAGCGTAAGTAGCGGTGGCAGCTCTTTTGGCAGGGATATAATATTTTTGATGGATTAACTATGTTTGAAGAATCAATTGTGGCCTAAAGGTTTATAAAACGCTCTTTCATGAACTTGTTTGAAAGTTTTGGGATTGAAGTTGTTTTTAAAGACGGCAGCAATTCCTTTGTTCTTGGCCTCAGTCAGATTGGTCGTTAGCTTGTCCACCTGATCAAAATTAGACTCTGATTCTTCAAACAGAGGTCGTTCAAAGAACCATCTGCAACAGGTAAGATGTTAATCACCTTTCCACAGAGCTTCTCTCACCTCAAAACTATCTGAACTGTCACTTTAAGCACTAGCATTGTGCTAACAGGATAAGGCATCCCAATTTCAAGTCCCGTTTCTTGTCCTAGTATGTTCCGGCAGGGAATGCATGACCTGAAGGTTTGGCCCGGTGTGGAGGGGGATGGAGGGGAGCCCACCACCACACCTGGACGCACCAGCAGCAGCCTGGCAGAGGACCAGATGGGCAGACTTGCCAAGGTATGATCAGGAAGTAAAGGAGAGGCTTGTGTGTGCGTGTGTGACTATATGGCATAAAAGAAGGTGAAGAAGCAGAATTAAAGGTGAAGAAGAAACCCTCGAATGCAACGCCGTGTCTAAACCATCGTTTGTTCCAGGGCCCTGACCTGGAGGTACTCGGTAATGTGAGTACAAACAGAGTAGAAATGCAGAATATGTGCTCTCTGTGTATGAAAACTTTAGTCAAAATGGATTTGGATACAAACATTCGGCTGATGCACATTCCAGCACCACTTTAGGGCAAATCAGACTGCGACAGAGATGGTAGGTGTTTTTTTTTTCTTTCTGTTGAGTCTCTGTCCTCATTGCTTTGCTCTAAGTGGGAAATCCATAAAAAGGTTAAATCTTTTCGGAACAGTCACAAATGCATTTTGACTTGGGTTGCGGTGTGGACACTTGTATGTCCGGGTGTACGGCTGTACTCCTGAAAGCATCACACATATGTAGTAAAGGTTTTAAAGGTCGTTGCCATACGTGTGTGTGCATGAGTTTTATCTTGAAGTGTTTGCAAAAAAATATGGCTATTAACGGATGACAGATTTTTTAGGAAAATTGACATTTTGTGTTTAAACTAGTGTGTTCGTCTTATTTTTTGGCTTGTTAAAGCTCACAGATACTTTTTTTTATAAACATCTCGAGAGCCTAATGAAGTCACGTGTGAGTTCGTATTCAAAGCAGCTGAGTTGTGGCCTTGAACAGCTGGTGCTTACCTTCCTAACACCTGCTCTCACCTGCTGACAAAGTGGATCAGTGTTTGAGCAGAGTGCTGCTGGCATCGAGTTTGTGCTTGACTGGCCGAACTGTTTGCCCTCCAGCCATCCTGCAGCCAGTTCTACAACTGTGTTTTTTTTTTCTTCTCCGTCCAGCTGACGAAGGCTCATCGTCAGGGCCACATGGTGAAGGTAGACTGGCTGGACCGGCTGACCTTCAGAGAGATCGAGATGATCAATGAGGTGAGCTGGTTTAGCCTGATTCTTTAACAAAGCTGCATCTTTACCGGTGAGAAACATCTCTGAGGCAATGAAAATGGTGGTACTGGTTAGTGTATTTTCCGCCCTATACCATACCATTTTATTTATAGAGCACTTAAAACAGCGACAAGGCCAACCAAAGTGCCTATAAGTCGCATGAGTCCAAATATGTCTAATAAAGTAGAAAAATCCATAAATATGTTGCTTCGCCGTATACGTTGCATCTATTCTGCGTCACCGCTGATGTGTCACGTTTGTTACGCGTCACCACTGACAACCCAGAAATGTGGTCTGGTGTTGTGCCAAAAATCAGTTGGCTGCCAAATGGCGACCGCGGAAGCGTGCATGGGAGGACTTAACAAGAATTTAATGAGATTAACACTTAAAAACAATTATTTGTTTGCTCGAAATTATAGTAAAGGTGTGTCTCAGTCTAACTTTTGCTTAATAAATACACTTTGACTGTCAAATCAGCTGCATTTCAAAAGTCGATACGTGGAAACATGAACCCGCAGGGGGACGAGTCGCTGCGCATTTCTTCAAAATTTAACAAGATAACCACCTAAAAACAATTATTTGTTTGCTTGACTTTATAGTAAACGTGTCTCAGTCTAACTTTCATTTAATAAATGCACTTTAATGGTCAAATCAGCTGAATTTCGCCAGGGCGGCGCAGCAAAATAAAGCTGATTTGACGGTTGCTCCTGGCAGACAATGGTGGCTTTGTATGGCAAGCCGATTGTGTCATTAAGACACTTTTACCTATTCCATGACACAATGGCATGCCATACAACTTGAGTGCCATCTAGCAGCTGAAAATGGTAGTGTTCAATATTTTCAGTCAGAATGAACGAAAACGGTCATCGCTCAGCCAAAAATTGGTTTATAAATATGGGAAAAAATCCATAAATATGTCGCTTTGGCGTATAAGTCGCAGGGCATGCAAATTATGCAACAACAAAAAAGCGCGATTTATAGGCCGAAAAATACGGTACCTGCTCAACTAATTATGGAGAAAAATCTGTCTGCAGATTGAGAAGCGCAGCTCTAACTTCATGTACCTCATGGTGGAGTTTCCACGCGTCAAAACAAACGAGAAGGAGTACAGCATTGTCTACTATGAGAAGGTATTTTCATATTAGTATTTAACCAGGTGTATGCATTAAAATAACGAATCACCTGATAGGATCTTTGTCTCTTTTCAGGATGGGGATGAAGCCTCGCCCGCTCCTACCAGCTCTGACATCGTCAAAGTCCCTGACCCACAAATGGGGATGGTGCGACAGCACTCATATTTGTATTTTATTATGAACAAGATCAAAAAAGTTTTGATCTTGTTCATAAACCCTACAAGAAATGTGAGCAGTTCAAAGCTCCAGATGTTCAATGTATTTAACACTGTGTATATGTGTTGTTTGTCCTCACAGGAGAATCTGGTGGAGAGTAAACACCATAAACTGGCTCGTAGCCTTCGCAGTGGGCCCTCAGATCATGACCTGAAGCCTAACGCCGCCACACGAGACCAGCTCAACGTAAGGAACTAACTGTTTGGTGTTTTTCTTTTTAGTGAGTTTAGTTCAACGACAATTAAATTTATGTATGTCACCAACAGATCATTGTAAGCTACCCTCCAACCAAGCAGTTGAGCTCTGAAGAGCAGGACCTGGTGTGGAAGTTCAGATACTACCTGACCACACAGGAAAAGGTGGTACTTTCTTTTCTTAACCCTGTACAGTCATTGATCCGTTGTGGTCCTTAACAGTTTTTATCCTTGTGTGGTTTCATACAGCCTTCTGTATCCTTACAGCCATTCCCCCTTATGGTCCAACAGTTTCTACCATCTTTAGACGCCAACATACTTCAACAAGACTTCAGATCTCGCAGACTTAGTTCGAGACGGTCTTTGTCTCATGGATTAAATCAATCCTGATAAGTCCTCCCACCATCGTACACATCGCGATCAATCAGTTCAGTTCAATTCAGTTTATTTATATAGCGCCAATTCACAACAGAAGTCATCTCAGGGCACTGAACAGGAACATTCAAATATAGAAAAAGTCAGTTAATAACAATATTTATCTAAGGAGCCTGCAGATTGCTTTGAATTTTCACTTTGTTGCAGTCTGCCATCCTAAGTGAGCACAGATGCAACAGTGGAAAGGAAAAACTCCCTCATGAGGAAGAAACCTCCAGCAGAACCAGGCTCAGGACAAGCGACCATCTGCTTCGACCAGCTGGGTTTGAGAGAACAAGAAGGAGAAAACAAACGCATAATGACAGGTCCACCAGCAGAACCAGAACCTCTTTAAATAGCCTGGTTGGGATGGGATCTAGCAGACATGTGGATGGTTTGGAGAAAGCTATTATTTTAGACAATTCAAAGAGCTCAACAGGACAAAAAGAGTCCCAACATAAATCAGGTTCTAGTGAAATGTTTTAAGTTACCTCGTCTGACAGGGAACCAGAGGCGATAGTAGGAAGGATGGTTTGAATTTTCTCCCTAACTGAAATAATTTTATTTATAAAGAATCTCGTGAAGTCATCACTTCTAATAGTTGTAGTGAGACACGGCTCAATAGAGGTAGGACTTTTCAATCAGAATCAACACAGTGCAGTTGTCAGAGTGGTTGTTTATTTTTATTTGATGGTGAGGAGTAAGAGTGGGTATTTTTGTTGTTAATCGAGGAAAAGCGCAATTTTATAAATTAGTTGCAAGAGACCGCCAGTTTCCAACATGATGGTGCGGGAACGTGTCCCTACGCTGCCCAACCAGAAAGCCCTCCCTTTCAGTCCATGAAGCGCCGCCGGTTCTTTGTACTGTCTCCTGCGTCCACAAAATTGTCTGATCTTCTTTTACAAGTTTGTTTTTACTATCCATATAAGTTTTATTTGACTTTATTTATAATGGAGCAGTTGTAATGTTGGCTGCATTTTCTCACAGCCAGCAGCTCCTCAGCAGACTCTGCTCCAAGAAATCAGCATCTGCAGCCACTTTAAACAAACAGGCCCACAAAGTTCTGACCATTTACCCAATGCATGCTGCGTACCCTGTAAGAAACTAGTTCTGGCTGGGGTCAGTGCGTAAGTCTGGGTGTCAACAGGTGGTAAGAGGTGATCTACGTAATTTTTGCCACGTCAGCGAGACACGAGGCTGGTCCTTCTCAATGACTAATCAAGCTTGAAGTCTCTTACAGTCGTTCTCTTGTGGTTTTAATACAATTTTCCCCCTGCCTATGGATCCATACCTGGTCCTGGACTCAGTCATTGCCCCTACCCCCAGTGCCCCTTCCAGTTTTTACCATCTTGTAGTCTGAATATAACTTATCATCTTGTGTGTTCTTACAGTCATTGTGGTACCTTGCAGTTTTTACGCTCTTGTGGTTGCTATTTACAAGAAACTGTGCACATGCTCACTAACCTCCTCCTCGACTCCAGGCACTGACAAAGTTCCTTAAATGCGTGAACTGGGATCTGCCTCAGGAGGCCAAACAAGCGCTGGAGCTGCTGGGGAAGTGGAGGCCCATGGATGTGGAGGACTCGTTGGAGCTACTATCCTCCCACTTTACCAACCCGACAGTGAGACGCTACGCTGTGGCGCGCCTGCAGCAGGCTGATGATGAGGTACGCAGAGAGGGTCAGGATACCTGAGAGTGTGACTGATGATTGGTTAGATTTATACTATAACGTGTAGAAATGTATTCTCAGACATAATAATGTGAATGTTTATGAAGCATTCACATTATTGTGATCCATTTTTCTTCTGTACAGTTTTCTGCATCTTTCTCGTTCCACAATTTTGTTCTATTTCAACAAATCATGCATCAAAATGTTCAGCTCTTTCAGGACAACCCTGCTATGGCTTTTGGTATTGGTGCACCTTTAGCTTTTTGAAATATTTAGTCTTTTCTGCCATTTTTTCCTCATAGAAAATGAATTGAGCTCATTTTCCATCCTTCAGATATTTAGATCTGTTCACAACCTTTTACTGCTCCTTTCACATTTTGTTCTGGTTCAGCTTCTTTGTGCAAATAAAAAAAAAATCAGCTACTTTCAGCTAATTTTACTATTTTTCAGCTGTTTTGTGCTCGTTTCTGATTCTTTCTGCTAACTACAACATTTTTGTGCTTCTTCTAACTTCTTTCTGCTAATTTTGGCTTGCTATGCTTCTTTCAGCTTATTTATGCACGTTTCAGCATTTTCTGCAATTTCATTATTTACCTGTTTTCATGCTAATTTTAGCTTTTTCAGCTAATTCCACATTTTTTGCACTCATTTCAACTTTTTTCAGCCTAATTCAGCAAAAATGTACTTTCTCTTTCTTTTGGTAATTTATGCTTATTTATACTTTTTAAGGTAGTTTTCAGCTGTTTTTTTTTTTTTTTTTTGCCAATTTCAGCTTTTACCTGATGATTTCAACTTTTTTGTGCTCATTTCTGCTTCTTTCAGCCTAATATGGAAAAATTGTGCTCTCTCCATTTCCTTCTGCTAATTTAAGCTTGTTCTAGATTTTCAGCTCACTTTTTAGCATTTCTTAGCTAATTTCAGCTATTTTCATATAAATTCAAATTTTTGTAGTAATTTCTGCAACTTTTAGCCTAATTAACTTCTTTCTACTATTTTGAGCTTGTTATCCTCCTTTCAGCTTATTTCTGCTAGGTTCAGCTTTTTCTGCTATTTCAGCTACTATTTAGCTCTTTGTGCCAAATTTAGCCTTTTCAGCTAATTCCTCATTTTCTGAGCTCATTTCAGCTGCTTCCACTTCCTTCTGGTAGTTTAAGCTTCTTTCTGCCTTTTCAGCTACTTTTCAGCAACTTTTAGCTAATTTTAACATTTTAGCTAATTTCCTAAATTTTGGCCTCATTTCTGCTTATTTAAATCTAATTAAACAAATATGTGTTCTTTGCTTTCTTCTGCTAACTTAGGCTTGTTCTACCATTTCAGCTACATTTCAGCATGTTTTTATCTAATTTCAGCTACATTTCAGCATGTTTTTATCTAATTTCAGCTACATTTCAGGACGTTCTTCAGCAATAAGCATTCACACTGCATTTTCGCAGGAAATGCAATTTCTCTAGTTCCGATATTGTGTTCCTGTCCAAACATCTTGCGCGCATTATGTTTGTGTACAGGGTGACATCTTTTAATGCTACTCTTAGTATTCATTGCATGTGTTATACATTTTAATGTATATTATTTCTTTATTCCCTTGCCATAATTCTCCCCATTTCTCCTCTTCAGGACCTGCTGATGTACCTCCTCCAGCTGGTGCAGGCGCTCAAGTACGAGAACTTCAGTGACATTCAGGGAGGCTTGGAGCCAGGCAGCAAGAGAGAGAGCCAGGGGCTTTCAGATGACTCCATGCTGGACAGGTCAGAGCAACATTAGAAAAACTATTCTGGCTTCAAACCAGCAACACTATAAGCCAGGCAGGCACAAGGCGGTGGGTTCTTTTCTACATGGGAATATTTTTAGCATGCCAGGAAGTTGTATTTCTTCATTCAGGATCTAAATTTACCCTCCAATGTGTTTGCTTGCTGGGGGAGCATAAGCCGCTGTGCAGATTTGATTATTTCTGTTTCAGAAGGCGTATTGAACTCATTGGTTATGATTTTTAACGGCAGCTCTGCAGCTGAGTCAAGAATCTCGGGCTGTTTGCTGACTCTGCTACCACACTGACCTCTATAAAAAATAATACACCATAAAGACAATAATTCAACAATTCTGTTTTTATTACTATGTTTAAAATAAGATTTTTGGTTTGACTTTAAGTCTTTTTTGTCTGTCATCTATTAGCTCGCAGAGTCTTTCCGGCACATCTGGATCTTCCTCTGCCCCACAGCAGAAGGGCAAAGAAGGAGCCGACAGTGAGAATCTAGAGGTGAGAAGTTGTCCATCAAAACAAACCAGGGTCTGCAGCCTATCACGATGAAAACTTTAAAATTGCTTCTTTGTTTTTCTCTTTTTAGCAAGACTTGTGCACCTTCCTCATTTCACGTGCTTGCAAGAACTCTACACTTGCCAACTACTTGTACTGGTGAGCTCAGCTCAGGCTTTCTTTGACAGATTAAGGAACGCAGCACAGGTCATTACAACATAATGAAGTTTTTGTTTTTCTCAGGTACGTGATTGTGGAGTGCGAGGATCAGGACACGCAGCAGCGAGACCCCAAAACGCACGAGATGTACCTGAACGTTATGAGGAGGTTCAGCCAGGCGTTACTGAAGGTGAGAACTTTAAACCAGTTGTTACATCGTGATGAAGACACAAACTAAATGAACAAATATTCAAATACATCTCTGCATTACCTTCTTCTGTTTTAATTTTTTTTATATGTACCGTATTTTCTGGTGTATAAGTCGCTCCGGAGTATAAGTTGCATCTGTCAAAAAAAGCATCATGAAGAAGAAAAAAAACGTAAAAGTCACTTCGGCGTTTAAGACGCATTTATTTTGCGTCCCCGCCTGACTCATCGCGTTTATTATGCATTTATTTAATGGTCGTAACAGCGTCATTTCACCAGGGTGGCACGGCGCCGTCCGTCCGTCCGTCCATCCATCCATCCAAACATCCATCCATTGCGGCTGGAGCCGTTAGCTCTCCAGCGTTGCTCTGCCTGCATCAGCTGAGTGAAGCGAGTGCACACTGGAGGACTCACTGTTGCAGTTCTTAGAAATTCAAAGCATCAGTCAAAAATTGCGTTATGAATATAAAAAAAGCAGGACTGACAAATCTATGCAAAAAACTGTGACTTATATGCCGGAAAATACGTTAACTGTCTATTACTATCAGCATTTGTTTATTTTATCCCAGTTAAATTCTGTCTTCTGTAGTTGTTTTATATGCGTGTCTTCTCTAAGTCACTTTAAATAAATAGCTTTTTCTAGACCAGGGGTGTCAAACTCACTCACAAAAGGGGGCCAAAATTAAAACCTTTTTCAAACTAAGGGACAATTTCAGAAACTACATTAACTCAAATCAGGTACCCAACATCTTTTCTTGGCCACAGGTTCCTCAACAAGAGTTTGATTGGTCTCATTTGATGCTCTCTGTTGTGTTTTCAACATCATAATCAAAGATTACTGAAGTATTTTACGTTTCACATATCTTGGGGGCCAGATGAGAGTCAACGAGGGCCACATTTGGCCCCCGGGCCTTGAGTTTGACACATATGTTCTAGTCTGTTGAAGTTACACTTAGAAGACCTCAACCAAGCTTGTAATACAGCGGGTTGCAAAAGTATTGAATGTACAAAATGCATTCACCCCCAAAGTCAGTACGTTGTAGTACTTTGCTCTGTTGCAGCAGTTGTAGCAGTGAGTCAAGTTTCCCTCAGAAATATCTGTTTTTCTCCATCCATCTTTCTTTTAACTCTGACCAGTTTCAAGGTTCAAGGTTCTGTGTTGTCATTCTTATCACATGTGGTACATGAGGTGGAACAAAATTGTGTACACAAGGTCCCAGTTACACCCAAAAATAGCAAAAATATAAAGTATTAAAAAATAGAAGCAGTATACAAGTATACCAAAGTTCATGCTCTATAATCCAGGTATAAAATCCAACAGTGTTCATTCAGGTCATCTGGACAGTTTCTTTTTTTCTTTTCTTTTTTGTTGTGCCGAGATGTTTCACCCTCCTTTCAAAGAAAAAGAAGAAAAGAAACCCGTCCAGATGAACTGACTGAACATTGTTGGATTTTATACCTGGATTATTGAGCATGAACTTTGGTGTTTTGAACCGGTTTGGCATGACTGTCAACGAGGGAGAGGGAGGGCCCTGGAGGAGAGGGTGTACCCCAGAGGCCATCTTAGCAACAACAGAACTGTTTTTTTTTCCACTCTGGAGTAGGCTGTTGGTGGAGAGTCAGTTTTGTTTGGTGTTTCGTCAGACTGATGAAGCCTTCGTATGGAGGGCGAAACGTCTCGGCACAAAAAAAAGAAACCAACCAGATGACTTGACTGAACATTGTTGGAGTTTACAAGGATCTAAGATATACGCTAAACACCAATAATGTAAATTAATACAGTATATTAAACAGCAGCCTGATCATGAGTCTTTTGTGAGCAGATGGGTATGAATATAGAAGCGTAAAGGCAAGAAATCAGCAGCGTGGATGATCAGCAGCATGGATAATCAGCAGCATGGATGATCAGCAGCATGGATAATCAGCAGCATGGATGATCAGCAGCATGGATAAAGTCTCATATCACCAGTTTAAGTGGCCATACAGTGATTTTTCCGGTTATGAATTCATGAGTCTAACAGCCTCAGGGTAGAAGCTGTTCCTCAGTCTAGTGGTTCTACACTTAATGCTCCTCAACCTCCTGCCTGAGGGGAGCGGGGCAAAAAGTGTGTGCTGGGTGAGTGGGGTCTTTCATGATGCAGGTGGCCCTCTTCCTGCATCTGGAGGTGTAGATGTCTGTGATGGTGGGGAGGCTGATTCCAACAGTTTTCTGTGCAGCCTTCACCACTCTCTGCAAAGCTTTTCTTTCTGCAGCTGTGCAGCCTCCATGCCACACGTTGATGCTCGAGCACAGGATGCTCTCCACTGCACACCTGTAGAAGGAGGTGAAGACTGAGCTTCTCAGACCAGCTCGTCTCAGCCGTCTGAGGAAGTAGAGTCTCTGATGAGCTTTCTTCATCAGGCTGGTGGTGTTGTTGCTCCAGCTGATGTTGTCGTTCAGGTGCACACCCAAGTACTTGTAGCTGGAGACCACTTCCACTGCAGATCCTCCTATGTTCAGGGGGGAGGGGTAGAGATGTGTTTGCTCCTTCTGAAATCCACAGTCAATCAGTCCAGTTTGATACCACTCAGTGAAGGTTTCATTAAAAGCGTGATAATATTTTTTATTCCGTTTTTGTATTTATACATATTTTAAGTAAGTGTGTTGCTGTGTGGAAACATTTAAATCAAACTCTTCTTCTGTTCAGCACGACAGGAGTGTGAGGGTGATGCGCTCGCTCCTGGCGGCTCAGCAAACCTTTGTGGATAAACTCGTGCAACTCATGAAAGCTGTCCAAAGGGAGAGTGGAAACCGCAAGAAGAAGGTAACAGCTGGACACATTCATAAAAGTTTTAATTATAAATGCTTAAATTAAAGTGTAAAGCCTAAAACTGAATGACAAGTTTTAGTTTGACGGTGTCGTGGGATTTGTTTTAACCCTGTGTCTGCAGACGGAGAGGCTGCAGTATCTGCTGGCTGACAACGAGAAGGTGAATCTCTCCGACATCGAGCCCATTCCTCTTCCTCTGGAGCCCCAGATCAGGATCAAAGGGATCGTCCCGGAGACGGCAACACTTTTTAAGGTGCAACAAAAAAATGTTTTCTTCCTAGAAAGTCTACTGAAAGTGATGCAGCATTTTTAGACCCTCTGTCAGAGGGAACTCTAACCACCAGGAAACTTGCGGAGAATAGATGATGAGGCTATGAGTGAGTGAACACATTAAACCAGCCATAACTGTTCTGTGATGTTCAGTGCAACATTTTGTGCTGTAAGGACATGAAAGCAGCATGATGGACAAACATCACTGGAAATCTAGATGCATGCACAGAGGATTTCTTTCTGCTGTGCAGCAGATGGTCTCTGAGACCCAACAGTTTATTGTAAAAGTAGCTCTCTGCTGAAGTCTTCTTATCTTGCAGAAACACCCCTTGTCCTGCACTTTGACTTGCTTCCAACTTATTTTACAAGAAACTAAACAAACGTTCACCTCTGCAATGTGCTCAGATAACATCAGCCTGTTTAACAGCTTCTATCTGTGTGCGTTTTTTTTTTAAGTGTATAGTTTCTAATGCCCCTTTTCCATTAGTACCGGCACAGCCGACTGGACCCTACTTGGCCCGGTTCTGAGGCTTTTCCATTAGTACCGGTACTTAGCACCTGTTACTATTTTCAGTACCCTTGGCTCTGTGGTTCTAACCCGAACGAAGAGGTACTAAAACATGACGTCAGAACACTGTCAGTCACTGATTGGTCGGGGGCGGAGTCGGGGGCGGAGTCACTGGATCCTTCAGAAACTTTTCAAAACCATAATCCGCCATTTGCAATTTCTCGGACTGGAGCAGCGGCTGGACTTATTTTAAAGATTTTAAAAACAATACTGACAACATCTTGGTCTAATGTTGATGTGCTGGCATTTTTTGTGCTTGGTGGCCGACAACATAATTCAGAGCAAGCTGGATGGAGCTCTGCTGGTGTACCCGATCCTCCCTCCGGAGCCTCCGAGCGCCAGACCAGGCAGGGCGTCATCTCCCCGGCTCCAAGTTCAGCTGGTCACCGCGGAAGATCCTTCGATGTGCCGACTCGGAGGCTCGGGTTCCGGATACCAGCCTTGTGTGCTCAGAGCTCCGCAGGTCACTGCG